TGCCCTAAGCCCATTGTCTCCTCTCCCGTCCTCCAGGTCTCGTGGTCGGTGGCCTTAGTGAGACGCGAAGTTGGTTCGGTGACCGTGGTGGCACAGGCTGGTGGACGGCAGGTTGGGCGGTACACTTCGGATCGTCTGGGGTGGTGGTGGGTGTTTGGGTGGCGGCTCATCCGGCTCCGACGGGGCGATGCCTGCAGGCGCCGCCGGGCCTTCCTGAAGGGCGTCAGGTATACCCCTCCCCCACTGTCCTTCACGTACAGGGGAAACCTTAGGACTAGTCCGAGCAGCAGCGTCGTCGTCGTCACATGCCTTCTTGAAGGTGTTGCTCGTTACGCGACGCTTCAGAGTGCTTGGAGCATGGTGGAACTTCTCCAGAGGGTGCAACGGTTGCGGGTCATCTTCGGTTGTTGATCTGCCGGTGTCGGCATTTGTTTTTCTTTCTTTCTCTCATTTTTGTAGACTTATTTGTGCTGCGGCCCCAACAAGCTGGTTGTATCGGATGGTTGCTTTATAATATAAAACAGGGAAATCCTTTATCGTCATAATCATCAGAGACTATGCGAGTACTTCCATCATATGTGCATGCATGTACCATGTGTGTACTCTCGGCAACAATGGATGAGGGCAAAAACACTTGAACAAACCTGTCCAACGAGTGATAAGACCGTGCCCAGAGGTAGCAACAGTGTTTGCTTACGGCATGCCCTCGGTCGATGCAAAAGGAAGACGGTGCTAATTTTTCGAAGGACTTGCTGATAATTTCTTTATTTTGTAGAAAGTTCTTGTAAAGGCTGGTTTTATTTAATATATGTCCTCCAGCATTTTAAAAAAAGCCATTTGTTCTGTTTCCCTGTGTTCAAGTCAGTTGTGAATGGATCTTGCGTCATTGTCTCCGACTCACTGTTGGCTGAGCAGCAGGACTCCATCATCCTCTAGGGTGCACTCTAATCTCAAATATTCGGCCAAAGGAGAACACCACCCTCGATGAAATCGTAAAAACCGCCGTGATCCTATTCAGATGCTAGATCTTGTTTTTTTTTTGCGGGGGGATGCTAGATCTTGTTGACCTTGTCTGGCGCCACTCCTTTGACTTGCACACCTTGCAAGGATGTCGTATTTTGACGGCAACATGAATGTTGAAACTTTGTCACACTGGGGACAAGAGCATGGTGTATTTACACGTTGTGCCTCCCATACATCCGTAGGAATCATGTTACGGGCTAGAAATCAAAGGCATGTATGTCTCTGCCCATGGTGCCAAGGCCATCATTCAGCACTACTTCTAAGCCACCCTGCTGGGTACTAACCCCACCCTACCACCTTCCTCGCCAGTGACATCTACCTTTGCTGCCTCATTAACATAGCCCACTCTGGACATCACCCAAGCAATGTCCGTATAATCTTGTTTCACCTTAGAGGAGCTCACAAAAGGATATTTGCCATGTGGCCCGGGGCCTGACGGGTTCGGCCACGTACTCTTGAAGCACGCCAAGGGCATAGTTGGTCCTGTCCTCTTTGGATATTTGTTACTCTTGCTTGAAGATAAAATTGTATTTTATACAATGATAGAGGCAGAGTTGGATGGAGGCATATGTCGCAACTAGGAGGCAAACATAATGTTCCTCCTCTTGTTGCTTGAAGAACAAAATTGTGATAGACAAATACTTATTTTTATATGTCTTGGACAATAACATCATTTCATAGGAGAATTCGGGTTAATAATGCGACCATAGATAATGAGCGCAAAATATCAATGGTCACATTACAATATTGAGCAATGTTGGAGATTTAATCGCAAAAGATCAATGGTCACATTACAAATTTTTTGACAAAAAATGGTCACATTACAATAATTATGCACGTAAGTCATAAACTTTCTTCGGCACCCCATCCCATCAATATGGTCAGCGGACATTACTTATTGATGGTGCTGGAAGCATTCAAGAAAACGAAATTTCGAAGGATACGTAGCAGGCGTTAAAAGTCCCTAGTAAAGTCAAAAATGCATGTTGTATGGAAGGTACTGCATGGAGTAGTTCCATGTTACAGTGTGCTAGCTAGTCGATATATTCCTGTTACTTGCCAATGCCTAATGTGCAAAATCGGTTTGGAGGATATACAACATTGCTTGTTCACTTGCACTAGATCGCTGGAAGTTTGGGCTGCTCTAGGCTTGGAGGAAGTCATTATGAAGGCTGTGACGGAATATTGCTCGAGATCTATTACTATGGAAATTTTAGAAAGAAACCACACAAACTGTGGGGACCTACCAATGGCAGAGCTGATTGTCGTCGTAGCGTGGTATATCTGGTGGCAACGGCACCAGTCTTGTGAAGCGTGAGACTGTCCAATCACCGGATCGTACAAGTGTTTCTATCAAAGTATTGGCCACAAACTTTATAAGAGCAACGTCTCCCAATTAACCAGTTCGAAAGCGTTTCCACATATGGAGGAGACCGCCTTAGGGTTTCGTTAAGGTCAATGTGGATGCTGCATTTCATCATGACAGCCAATCAGGTGCCACAGGAGTTGTTGCACGTGATGATAAGGGGGATTTTCTGGCTGCAGCTAACTGGTTTTTACCACATGTTAACAATGTTGATTGTGCAGAATTGAGTGCTATTCATAATGGGCTCTATCTGCAGCAAACGTTGGAGGTACCTGAGTGATTGTTGAATCATCTAGTACATTTGCGGTGCAAACCTTGAATCAACACGAGGACTACTTCGGCCTTGAAGTTGTGATAGTAAGGGAATGCCATAACCTTGCTAATAATTTTGGGACAGTTTCGTATGATCACTGCTTTCATGAAGCAAATCAGATAGCAAAATCTTTAGCAAAACATTGCTTCAGCTCTAGAGCTTCCTCATTTTGAGATTTTACCCCTCCAGACCGTATTCCTCATATGCTTGTAAATGACCTATCTATTATTTGAGAAATAAAGTCATATTATTGTAAAAAAAAGTATTTCCTGCAAGCAGAACAGAACAAGATTGAACCAAAGAATCGGTGGCTATTGATACATGAATCAAGTACTAATCAAATTTCTTGATTATGTTAGTCCACGATCCAAGTCATGAATGCCACAACATCCTGTCCAGGCCTAGTGTGCATGACCCCCTGAATGGGCTTGCGTTGTTGCAGATCGCTGGCCGCCGTACCGCCGGACGCCCATGACGGTCACACGCACTTGTGCTTTTGCCGATAGGCTCTGTGAGAAGTTCGCTGTGCACAAGAGAACTAGACGTTCCCGCCGATGATGAGACAATGAGATAGAGGTGGATTAGGATCTAACTAGTAATCTGTGCATTGACAGTTTCATATAGATAGTGGTATTTGATTCCATAACTTCACATGCATCACATACACTGCAACACGTGCATAACCTTGCAGGCAGCTCAAGTCTTTTGACAAGTAAATTTATTATATGACCACTAGGAAGTAGGAAGACATTCGCTAATGGTGCATGATACTAGTTCACGATACAACTGGGCAACCCTGCGAAAAATGGTGCGCTACATATATACGACTTATATACACAGAGCTAGCATGCATTATTCAAAAGAGCAACATCCTAGTGTAATCCTCCAGGGAGGGGAGCCTCTGCTCATCGTCATAGCCATACATGATGCTGACCATCCTTGCAAAGTTGAGAGACGCCCCGATGAAGCAAGGTGGTAGTGTGGACTTTGTCTGAGAGAAGCATTCCCTGTTTAGATCCCCCCATTCACACGCGATCATATGCAACATGTGCTTCTCCGCATCAGCATGAGGGTTTTCTCTCTGGTACAAATCCTTGTATGATCCGTCGAGCCCTTCTTGCAACTCATCCTGCATGGGACGAATAATTTCTTTTCAGATCAGCCTAATTTTGTCAATGTCAACTTGGATGCACACCACCAGGATATGGTACGAATTAATTCATGTAAATATATTAGTATTACTAATCATATAGTCTTGTTTGATAAAGTTCTTGATGTATTCTGACCTTTGCACTCCCCATGTCATCCCAGAGCCTCATGATCTTTGCAGGGCAGGAGATAACCCTAAGTATGTGGTGGTTGTTGTCATCTGTTACATCATGCCCTAGCATGAATAAAAGATGCATAAATAAAAGTGGTGCCCCTGAAGTGATGATGCCATTTCTTAGGTAGTCCTCTGATGTAGGGATCTGATTAGTAGATAGCCATTTCCCCTCGATCATGAATCCATCAAACAAAGATGCCCACTGCAAGGAAAAAAAATTCATGAATGCAATTACTCAAACAAAGATGCCCACTCCAAGGAAAAAAGGGCATGAATGCAACTCTTCCAGTGTTATTTTCTTATATTTTATTTTTAATACAATTAGTCACAAGTTATATAGTACAAAGAAATATGTGAGGTGGTACTATTAATATATTGAGTTGGTTAGACAAATTAAACTAAAAAAATGAAAAACCATTCAACTAGACATACTGCTTTCTTGAGATGATTGATAGGGTTAAATCCATGCTCTTTTCTGACCATATCGGCAATATCATTTGTGATGGTGTAAATAGCCTTGTAACATGATTTCATGTAACTCGGTAGTGACTCAGCAGCTGCAAGATCCCACCTGTCAAAATGTGCACTTTGTGTGTGAAACTTCTATAACAATATATTTCATTATGCATATGGTCTCAACTAACCCATGAGTTTGGTTATACCATTAGAAAAAATATGTCATTTTGTGCAAAAGTAGCTTTCAATATGCAATGCTTTATCTTATTTTTTGTATGAATATATATGAATAATTATAATGCTATCAAAATATGGAATTATTTCTCGTAACCTAATGTTTATGTCAGACTAGTCCTAACATCTCTATATTCATGATCTCTCAAAATTAAAGAATTATTAATGTTCAATTGGACATATTTAAGATGTCATTTATTTATGAATAAACGTAATTATACTTCATTCCTAAAGTACAGTGTTGTTGTTTATTATGGGAACATCAGTGCTCACATTTTGATCGCCTAATTAAAGAGAGAGAGCTCCTCTTGTGTGGCGACAAGATCGAAGATGTCATCCACAATGTAGACCATTGATATAACCTTTGTGGCCTCAACCCGATATCTAGAGAAGGATAAACCATCGAGGATAGTCATGGACCACATGTACCATTTCAGAACTTGGTCCCGTGCAGCTGGTATTTCTTGAGCCAGTCCCAGATCCATCCACCATCTGTGTGAAAATGAAGTTTTCATAGTAAACAAGCACCACACCATTAATTGTGCCAATACATGACCAAAAATATTAATCTATAAATTCCAAGTGAGTTCTCTCTTGTCAATAGGTAGGTGGGCAAATCTCCCCAATAACTAATAATGGAAGGGGTGTAGTTTAATATGTTTATACCTCTTAACCTCTTGCATTTCCCTCTGATGCTGCAACTTCTTGATCTGAAATTCTGCAACTGCTAGCGTCTCAATTGCAGTGTGCCTAGTAGGCAAGTTTTTGAGGTAACTCAGATGATGCCTAGCCTTGTATTGCATCAAGCTCACATGATAGGGATGGTCCAGTGACTTCATGACATATCTCGCAAGGTTTGGCTCCAAATACTTAATTGCAAATTTAAGGTGCTTTCTTGAGAATTCCTTTGCCTTGTAGAGTGAAGCTTCTCTCATGTTGAGGTGTGACATGTCTTGCAAGCTCAGCAACCCTCTAAGGTCTTTGCTATGCCTAAGGTTGAAATCACCATTATTGTTTGTGAACTTCCGAAGAACATCGTCTGCCATGGCAAGAAGGAGGGGTCTTAGGCGCATGCCATAGATAATGAAAATAATACGTCTCACGAGAGGTGTTTCTATGCTCCACAAAGGACGGCTATTTTTTGTATTAAACTTGGCCACTCTAAGACTAATTTCTTATTAGAAAAATTATCGCATAAAATCATCATAGACCAAATTGCACTCAAGTTTCCCAACGCATGTGTGTTTATCTAACTCAACACACTAAACTAGTATTTTACTGACCTGCCGAAATAGAATATCCAGCTTCTCTCATTAGCCTTAAGGAAAGTGTTGCGTCAAGTAGATCATCACTATGGATGAGATCCACACACGAGTTCATTATGTTATCAATTTCATCGTGGAATAGTGGTCAATGCAGAGGCGCTTGAGGTGATCAACCGTGCTCAACATTCCTTTTCTGCTCTTCAGATGTTGATGAAGCAATGCTTGAACATTCGATAGGTTTTCCTATTATTGCACATAGAGCAAACTTCTTTTTAGCAAGAATACAAAGTCTAGAGAACTGCAATATATATCATCTATTACTTGATTTCATTACTAGATGACATCATAGGAAAATCATGCATATAATGTAGGTTTATATTTCATTAACATAGTTTCAAAACTAATTAACAAACAAACATAGAGATCGAAAATTGTGCTAATTCTAATGACGCAAGGATGGCAAATTAGTTGACACACACGGCAATTTTCTGTTAAAAAAGAAACCGACGCATGAAGTTGCCACCTTGGCAGCTAAAGTTGCCATCCTCGCGTCATTAAACTTGTGAAAATGTTCAATTTGCCATGTGCTCGTACCTGACATTCAGCGTTACCAGATTCCTTTTTTTTTTGGTATATATGATTTATCAAATTTAGAAAGCATTAATTTTTGGACTCGATTTATACGCCAGTTATTTAAGGACAGAGGAAGTATAATTAGCAAAAAAAAGAGGCAAACAAACATGCATGATAACTGCATTCAAAGTACGTGCTAATGTTGTGGTCCTATAAATATGTTTGTACCATGACAATATATACCTGGAAGTCAAAATCGTCGGACAGCTCATGGGACACCGGCTCCCGCCCGGGATATATCACCGTGGAAGGGCGAAATAAGCCACGGTTTTGGCCACTCCGGCCACCATTTCTGGCCACCGGCAAAGCGGGAAGGTGCAACGGCGCCAAGGAGGATAAGGAGAAGCATACATGCGCAGCAGCCATCCCTTGCTTGATTAATGTGACGTGTTACAGCTGATCGGCTGAGCAGGTTGATCGGCTGATTTTGTAGCGTGAATGATATGGGATGAACAAGAGTACGTAGCACTAGCAGGCTGCTGCTTCTGCTATGTCTTGGGATGGATTGGGGATATGAGCAATGCATGCATGCCCTCCAGATTTATAGGGGGAGGGGAGGTTGAGCAATGCCGCGTTGATCCTCCACCGAGTGGCGAGCCATGTGGAAAATTTACTAAACGTCATGCATGCGCTAATCAAGTTTTGTTTTTCGTCCAGGGCTAATGCACCATGCATTCTTTGTTTGGAGAGTGAACCATGCATGCACCACGCACCATGCACCTTGCTCTGGACTCTGATGTCTAGTCTGGTCGTCGTTAGGAGACAAATACCGCGACATCGTTCGTGCACACGGTTTCTCCCTGCACCGCACCCACAACTGGCAAAAGAGCCACACACGTAAGTACTCTATATAGTTCCTATATTTGTAAGTCCTGCCACGTCAACGTCTCCATCTGACACCTGGGGAAATTAAAAGGGCCATCGAAAAGTCTGCCGATTGACCAGTTTTTCATCGGTTGCTACCTGTCAAGCTCACGACAATGTACGTATGCCACATATAACCTACGTAATGAACAACTGCCGGCATTACCAACGTGACCCCGAACCCCCCAGCTGAACTATGCATGCATATATAGTAGCTAGCTACTAATAGAGCGGTCAAAAACCATTTACCCCATCCCCAAAATGTAATTAACGTGTGTGTACAACGACTGGTACAGCTGGCATTGTCTCTATGTAAGTGGCGCTTTCTGGAATTCTTGGGTCAAATTGTTAGGGAAACGTTGCGTGCCGGTCGACCGGCCGAACACTGCGCCGGTCCCTTGTGTTGCGCCACGCGTTTTCTCTATTGGCCCACAACCGCTTTTGTTTCTTTTGTTCTTATCTTCACCAGGACTTCTCTCGTCCACTCATTTCTCTTCCCGTGCGTCTTCCTCCTCTCATCTATCTCTTCTCACGCTGCTCCATCGCTCCATCGCCCCAAACTTTGGTCTCCGATGCTGCTCCTCCCCCACACGCTTTGGTCTCCGGTGCTGCTCCTCCGCCATCGCTCTCTTCTCCACAACCCTCCTGCTTCCCCCATCTTCTTCATCTAGCAAACATCACCATGGATGGATTGGATGAGAGCTACAAGACCCACACGCCAGCACCGGTGGTGCGCGCTGGGAGCAGCCCGCCGGGATGTTGCAACCGGTGGTGCGTGCTGCTGGGGCCGGCAGCTACGGATCGGCGGCGACCCAGTTTTTTTGCTGGAACGGACCAATTTTTTTGCTGTGATCCAGCGACGGCAATCTGTTTGTTTTTGCTGGAACCACACTTTGTTTTTGCTGGAACCATGTTTTTTGTTTGCTGGAACCATGCATTTTTTTTGTTTTGTTGGTCATTGCCAATGCTATGCGAAACCATTTTTTTTGTTTTTGCTGGAACCATACTTTGTTTTTGCTGGAACCATGTATTTTTTTTGTTTTCTTGGTCATTGCCAATGCTATGCGAAACCATGTGTTTTTGCTGGAACCATACTCTGTTTTTGCTGGAACCGTACCTTTGTTTGTTGTAACCATGTTTTTGCTAGAACCATCTTATTTTTGCTGGAGCTATGATTGAATGGGGTGCTACAACCGTTATGGTTGGTGCTACAACCGTGGTCGGCGATTGCTTCAACCTGCCACGGCACCGTCCAAGCGGCCAAGGGCGGTTACCCTCGCCGGAGCTCAACGAACAGAGCACTGTCCGAGTGGGTGCTACAACCGTTATGGAGGGGTGCTACAACCGTGTTTGACGATTGCTTCAACCGACCACGGCACAGACCCGACAGCCATGGGCAGTACCCTGCCAGAGCTCGACGAACATGGCCACAACAGCGACGGACAAGGTTGCAACCCACGACGGCGAGGCAGGGAACAACTACGGCGAGGAGCTTCAACGGTGATGATGGCGAGTTGCGACGGCTACGGCGGCGGCGACGAGCTCCGTGATGCAGTTAGAGCGGTGGCCAGGGGAGGACGATCTGACGGGGGCGGGGGAGGATGATCTGACGCGGGCGTTGACCTCGACCCTCTTTTTTGCGCGGAGATGTGATCGCTTTGTTTTTTTTCCTGGTTGCAGATAATGGGGACGAGGAATAAGCGCATCAGACGGTTATAGGGAATCTGATCGTACGGTGGGATTAGGACCGGCCCAAATTTGGGCCGGTGCGCCGGCGCCCATCACTGGCCAAATTGTTATTATGTACTTTTGGTTTATTACATACAAGAGTACTGTTCATCCAAGTAAATTTGATGTTGAACGGTATATAGACGGAAAAGGTAGAAAAGGGACAGAAAGGGTGGAGACTCTCCTCTATATGTTTATTTACTTTTGGTTTGTTCCATACAAAGAACACTGTTCATCCACGTAAATTTGATGTTGAACGGTAGATAGACGGAAAAGGTAGAGAAGGGACAAAAAGGGTGGAGACTCTCCTCTATATGTTTATTTACTTTTGGTTTGTTCCATACAAAGAGCACTGTTCATCCACGTAACGGAAAAAGTAGAAAAGGGACAAAAAGGGTGGAGTCTTCACGGAGACTCATGGCTCCGCAATGAGTCGATGCTCTCGAGTCTTGATCTAGTGGATCCCTCAGCACTGCTTCACCAGCAACCTAAAGAAGGGACCCTTTTTTTAGAGGAGCGACGTCACACCTACAGAAGCGACTGATCACCCACTTAATTAAGTGAATATACCATTTCGTAACCTAAAAAACAAGCTTTTCTTCCACGCAAATTTGTATTTCTAGCTATTTATCGGTCTGTATGTAGCTTTCTTACAGATTTAGAAAAACACTCAGTTATGTTTAGACTGTCCATGTCACCCGCAAAAAAATTATACTATGGATGCATCTTTTACAGTCTTCTAGAAAGCAGCCTATAGATAGAAGACATCCACGTGGATAGTATTTCAGCTCTCTCAGCATTATAAAATGGTGGTACAGATATAGCATCCAGTTACACCATAAAAAGTTCCCATTGATATCTCATAGGAGCATGCCACCAAAAGAAAGAGAATCTGGTATCGAAAATAGATTTTCCATATACAAGGAAACAAACATATAGAGGAGAGTGACCTTTGACAATGAGGAAACAAACAGCAGTAGGTTCATGATATTCAGTACTAACGTTAACGACGAGGAATTGATTATTACTTTCCCACACCCTTTCTACTACTTCATTGCATACGTTGGAAGTCAAAAAGAACAAAAGAAAATGTATAATATACAATTATAAAATTGTATGCGTGGCCTAAAATCACAAACGTAAAAAGACGACATAAAATGTAAATAATGACATTTTTGGTGTGATTTTATATGGTTATGGCCAAGCTTTTGAGTACTGACTGAAAAATTCAGATATTGGGTGGTATCCGCGTTTCTCGCCGCCCCACGAGAAATACCCATCCCGAGAAAAAAACAAAAAAATCCAATTTTTAAAATTTAAACACTCCAAGTATAGTAAAACATTGTAGCTCGCAGTTACATCAACATTCCTAGTTGTGGAGTGGTGGTAACCTATTATTTTGTGCCTTGAGAGGTAGCTGGTCGGAGTCGTCTTGCCGCACCTTTTTTGTTTATTTTTTGGAACAGGTAAGTAGGAAAAGTAAAAAAATAATGACCCAAAGAGTCGCACTCGCAACCTCACACTGCTTAGCACGCACGTAGTAGACATTTCACTGAGCTAATACCTATTTTATGACTGATATTCCTTCAACTTATTTCAATCTAGTTTAGAAGAATATGAAATCGAAATTCAATTATAAAATTTCGTTAGATTTTTTTTGGAAAAGGAGGCTTACCCCCGGTCTCTGCATCCGAAAGATGCATGCGGCCATATTATTAAAAAGTTCAAATAAAACATAGTCTTAGATCTATTATAGCTCGCAAACGGAGCAAAAAGAAAAATAAAAACTCAATGCCACAACCGGCAGGATAATAGGACAAGAACACTACACGCCTATCCTATTATGAGAGCACCATCAAAACCGGTTGAAGATAGCCCGTGCTACCATCT